TACCACATCCTTGTGATTATTTTCTTAGAATAAATTCTTAGAAACCAAATAGTTGAGCCAAAGGGATGCATGGTTTTAAGTCTTTTGATACCATATCAAATGCCCTTCATAAGCTGTATAGCAATTTGTGTAGCATGTGAGTGTTCACATCCTTTCCACGGCCCTTTCTATGACTACTTTAACTATAAAATATTTTAAGTTACTGAAATTAAAATACTGCCATTGATTTGCTTATATCCTTAGATGAAAAGCCTTATCTTCTGTGTGTGTCTTGTCTAAGACTGTATGTACCAGTGTGTAGGGCTCAGACCTTGGGTCATGTGGGATCCTATGCCTGCTCACCTTTAGGCCTGGAGAACTCTATTCGTATGTTGTGCTGCATTTCATTCACTGATGGAGAGCCAAGCAGGCCCAAAGGTGCGAGAGCTGCCCTCTGCTGGTGCAGAGGTGCAATAACACTGGCCACAGTCCTGCTGTTTTCTTAACCCTGCTTGCCTGTGCCCACCACCACCGTCCTTTTTCCACCAGAAAGGCCCTATGTGGAGGATGAGGAGTTTTTAAACTCTTGTATCCTGGGTCATTGTGGAGAGGCTCACTTGTAGTGTTTTTCTGTTGGTGAGAAGTGCATAAATGACAGTTCGAGAAAGCCAGCTACTGCCCTGTTAGAGGGGAGTTTAGGGCTTGTGAGCAAAGGCACCAGCATCCCCCAGCTGAGTGGGTAGCCCTGTGCCGTGACAGCTGTTGAAAAGACCAGCACAACCTGTGTTTATTTTAGTAGATTTATTTATTTATTTATTTTTTTGGTTTTTCTCCGGTACCGGGAACTGAACTCACGACCTTGCGCTTGCCAGGCAGGCGCTTTTGCCGCTGAGCTAAATCCCCAGCCCCTCTGTGTTTATTTTAAAGACCAGCCCTTTAGTTTGTGGGAGAGACACATGTACACAGGCACGTACAGCTCAGTGTCCCTGGGCAGCACAGTCCAGCAGGTTCATTTGTCAGGAACAAAACTAAAAGGTGAACATTTAAAGATGTCTGCCAAGCAGGAGTGGTGGCGTGTGCCTGTAATCCCAGCACTCAGGAGCTGAGGCAGGAGGATCACAAGTTTAAGCCCAACCTGGACAACTTAGTGACTTAGCAAGACCCTGTCTCAAAATAAAAAAATACAAAAAAGGGCCAGGATGTAGCTCAGTGTGAAGGCTCTGAATTCAGTCACTCCCCAGAACCATCAAAGGAGAGGGTATAGGTGTGTATCACCACCCCTAGTTCTCTTATTTCTGAAACTTGGTATTTTGTAATCTTTCTGATTTCAATCTGAAATCTTTAAAAGTCTGATTCTTATGCTGTTGTGTTAGCTGACTCTGGCATTTCCTTGCATAATTTTTTATACCAAAACTATGCCCTTATTACTTATTTTCCATGGAACTTTACTTTGGGCTTTTTTTTTTTTTTTTATGAGACAAAGTCTCACTATATAATTCAGGCTGGCCTTAAATTCACTATGTAGCACAGGCTCCTTCCTGCCTCAGCCTCTAAGTACTGGGATTACAGGCATGCACCACCACACTTGAATACTTGGGGAATTTTTTGAGGCCTGGTTTGAAGTTGTTTTCCTCCAAAGAGGATTTACGTTTTCTTCCTGCCAGCCCCAAAATACTTTAAAGTGAATGTTTGGCTACAGAATTTTCTGCCCACGCAGGTAGCTGTGTATTAAAAGGCCAAATCACAGGATTTAGTCAGACCTGAGTTGGAACCATCCTGTTTCACTCCTCACTCCGTATGACCTGAGGAAAGTCATTTATTCTCTGTACATCTGGACCCTGTCGACTGTGAAATAGCAGTAATATTGCCTACCACGTAAGGCTACTGTGGGGTTGAGATAAGGTAATAAACAAAAATAAAGTGTCCATGTTCTGGTGGTCACTAGGTGCCATTCTCCTTAGCTGAGTAGCCCCCTCCTGGCCCAGCCATGGGGAGCAGCTCTGGGGCAGCCCCAGCTTTAGTGCGTTGTATGGAAGCTGAGTGCTGTGGCTTCAGCTTTGAGATGACAGCCTCTAAAATGCTTTTGACAGACACTTCTGCCCTGTCTTGACCATGGTCTGGACTTGTTATAGGGCTTATGTGGAGCTGGGTAACAAGAAAGATAACATTTGCTATAAACTTTCCAGATATTGCTTGAGTATTTTATTGGTTGGTTTATGACTTAAAGAAAATTCTTGCCAGGTATGATGGCACACACCTGAATCCCAGCACCCTAGGAAGCTGAGGCAGGAAGATGGCAAGTTTGAATCTAGCTTGGACAGTTTAGCAACTTAGTGAGATCCTATGTCACAATTTAAAAGGGCTGGAGTTGTACCTGAGTGCAGAAGCCCTGGGTTCAATACCTGTCACTGCCCTCTTGTCACTGCCAAAATTTCTTAGCTAGGCATGGCGGCACCCTCCTGTAATTTTAGTTGCACAGAGGACCGAGGCAGGAGGATCGCAAATTTGAGGCCAACCTGAGCAATTTAGTAAGGCCCTGTCTCAAAATAAAATTGTTTAAAAAGTCTTGGAAGTTGGGTGTGGTAACACACTCCTGTAATCCCAGCACTCTGGGAGTCTGGGGCAGGAGGATTATGAATTTGAGTCTAGCCTGATTTAGCAACTTAATGAGACCCTGTCTCAAAAAGGGGGGTTGGAGCTGTAGATTTAGCTCAGTGTGAAAGCCTTGTGTTCAGTACCCAGTAACACACACACACACATACACACACACACACACACACACACACACAACTTGGGCTGGGGTTGTAGCTTAGTGATAGAGCACATGCTTAGCATGCAGACTCTGGGTTTGATCCCCAACACTGCCAAACAAAAATTCTCTGTAACTGCTTATGTATGGTGGCACGTTAGTGACAAAGCATTGGGAACATTTATAATTTTTAATCATATGGAAATTGACAGTAATATAAATATGAAATAAAAAGTTGAATATTGGCATGCAAATATCTTAAGTCATTTCTGGAACAATGCACATAAAAAAGTAAATGTTTTTGAGACAGAGTCTCACTATGTAGCTTAGGCTGGCCTCAAACTTGTGGTGATCCTCCTGCCTCAGCTTCCTGAGTGTTGGGATTACAAGCGTGCTCCACCACACCAGGCTGCCTAAAGCAGTAAATTTAATAATATGAGTTAAGCTATATTGAGAAAAATGGGTAAAGAAAGCGTGGAGGGAATATGTTTAGGTGTCAACTGCTGTTATTTGTGAATGGCGGAATTCTGAGTGATTCTTACCCCAGTAGCACCCTGATATAGATAGCAGTCAGAGGTGGGGGTTTGTAGTCAGAAAGTTTTGCTTTAAAGCCAGGCATAGTAGCACACACCTGCAATCCCAGCACTTGGGAGGCTGAGGCAAGAGATCAAGAGTTTTGAGGACAGCCTGGGCCACGTAGCAACCCCTGAGCCAAAAAAAAGGAAGGGGAGGAGTAGGGGTGGGGGAGAGAAGAGAAGAAAACTTGCACTAAGTTGGTACCTGTGTGGCCTTAAAGAAAGAACAAACTCTGTGTGATTTAGTTTCACCATCTGTTGGACTGTCTTGAGGCTCAAATGAACAGTGCAGACTTCGGCTGTAGTTCAGTGGTGGAGTGCTTGCCTAGCATGTGCAAGGCCCTTGATTCAATTTTCAGCACTGGAAAAAACGAATGAATGAGTGTGAAGTGCCGAGCCTGTCATCTGGCACGTATTGGCTCTATAGATGGTGACAGTTATTATTTTTATTCATCTGCAATCTTTCCAGATTTCCTTTTATGCTGTACATGTACTACTTTATAATCTTCACAGAAAAGAGTAAAATTAAACCTTCAACAAGCTTGGCGTGGTGGTGCATGCCTGTAATTCTAACACTTGGTAGGCAGAGACAGGAGGCTTGGGATGAGTTCAAGGCCAGCCTGGACTACATAGTGAGTTCTGAACTACACAACAAGACTCTATCTCAAAACACCAAACCGGACAAACCCTTCAGCAACAAAGGGTGTACAGACAGTCCCCAACTTAAGATTTTTTCATCTTTCTGAAGATGCAAAGGTAATACACAGCAGGCATTGGTGGCACATGCCTAAACCCCAGCACTTGGGAGGCTGAGTCAGAATTGTAAGTTCAAGACTGGCACAGACTACATAGTGAAGCTCAGTCTCAAAACAAAACAGAAAACAAACCAAAAAGCAGTCATGTTCAATAGAAACCACACCTTGAATTTTGATCTTCCTGCTGATATTCTTTCTTGATGCTGTGCAGTGCCAGTTCCCAGTTGGCCGTACAACCATAAGGGGAAGCAGCTGACACTCTGCAGTGGACTGTTGCCAAATCATGATGTTCAGTGGGTTAGGTGTACTAGATGCATTTTTGATTTAGGATATTTTCGATTTAAAATTGGCTTGTTGTTACCAAACCCCATTTTAAATCCAGGAACATCTGTATATACTTTGCTGACAAAATTATTCTATATCCGTAAGTTGGGTTTCTAGACTTTCCTGCTGTTGAGGGAGGGCCCCAAAGACCTAAATACTGTAAGTCTCCAACTTAGGAACATTTGAGTTGTGAACTTGCACAGAAGATATGGACAGACCGTGTATCACAAACATTCGTAAATGAATAAATTGTGGAAGTAGCTTGTGTGTCTGCCGGACATTGTCACTGTTGTGTTGTTGTGTGCTCACCGTACAGTGGGACAGTGTACAGTAGCACAGTGCCCAATCAGAGCCCAGGATGTCCGGGAGCAAGAAGAAAAGCTTCACATTGTATATTTGTGTCAGAGTTCTACAAGACTCACTTTGTCAGCCTTAGGGACAAACCCAACTTAGGAATGCGCTCCCGGAACAGACTGTAAGTCGGGCACTTAGTGCGCTGGGAACCAGTGCAATGGGGTGCTGGACAGGTCAGGCCGTAGCCCTGTGGGGGAGGCCTGGGGGAAGGGTGGATCACAGCCAGGTGGGTTTAGAGATGCTTATTCTGTCTATCCTGCCCAGGACGCAATGAGCCTCTGAAGAAGGAGCGGCTCAAGTGGAAGAGTGACTACCCCATGACAGACGGGCAGCTGCGGAGCAAGCGAGATGAGTTCTGGGACACAGCGCCTGCCTTTGAGGGCCGCAAGGAGATCTGGGATGCACTCAAGGCAGCTGCCTACGCAGCCGAGGCCAATGACCACGAGCTGGCTCAGGCCATCCTGGATGGAGCTAGCATTACCCTGCCTCATGGTAAGCAGGCGGACCAAGGCTTTATCCCTGCTAGAGATGGGAGTCATCAGTACAGTTTAGAAATGGAAGAGAGCTGGCAGCCAGCCATATGCCAGGAGCTTCTGCCCAAGTTGGTAGAGGTAAAGGTGTAGGTACGTGTGGCTCTTCACTTGCTCATTCAGACAACTCAGGGTAAGCATGGACCAAGAGGGGAGATATAAAGAAACATGAGAGGCAGTCCCTGCTTGCCTAAGGAAGGAATAACAAGACAGGGGCAAACCTGCAAGCTAAAGGCTTGCTTGTGGCACTCTGGGCTCCCAGAACCTCTGAGATACCCATCTTCTGTGGGGTTGTGCATGCGAAGCACTGAACTTAGAACTTCTTCATTCTCTCATTGAAGTTTACAGAACCCTGACAGGCTGTGGAAAACTGAGATAAGCGTGGAATTCCAGAGCCATGGGCCTGTTTCTTAACGCAGCTGTTTCTATTTTCAACCTTGTGGCTTTTCCCAGCTGTGTGACATTGAGCAAGGGGCTTCTGACATTAGCGCCTGAGCACTTTGCAACCAGAAAGGGGGTTGATTGTTAGGGTATAGCAAGACACATGTAACATCCCCTAGTCTAGTCCCAGCACTTAGGAGGTGCTCAAGGTGCAGTGACATTTCTGTGTATGTTACACGGCACTGGTGAGGAAACCAAGGCCTGACCCAAGCACCCAACACATATCCTCAGTGAGTTGGTTAGTGAACAAATGAGAAGTTATGCGTCAGCGCCGATTGAGGCAGCACCCAGTGGAACCAGGACACCAGGTTTCCTCAACTGCAGCCCTGTGCTCCTGTTGTGAGGCTGTCCTAGGGAGACTTGACTGTGGGGTGAGCCTGGGGGCTATGGGGTGGCCATGGCAGATACACTAATCAGCTTAGACTGCCATAACAAAGTATTACTGAGTAGGTTCCTTAAACGATAGAAACGTGTTTCTCACAGTTGCTCGAACCTGGGAAATCCGAGACCAGGTAGCATCTGATTTAATTTCTTGTGAGGGTGGACTTCATGCCTTGCAGATGCACCTTCTTCCTGTGTGCTCACATAGCGGGAGAGAGAAGGAGGAAAGAGAGCTCTCTGGCGTCTCTTCTTAGAAGGATAGTCAGATTAGGGCCTGACTCTTACAACCCCACTTAACCTTAATACTTGCACATAGGTCCTACCTCCACATATGGTCCCATTAGGGGTGAGGGTTTCAACAGAGGACTTCTCAGGGATGATGACAGCCAACACACTGACTGCCCTGCCCTGCCCTGCCTTTCCACAGGCACGCTCTGTGAATGCTATGATGAACTGGGTAATCGCTACCAGCTGCCCATCTACTGCCTGTCGCCGCCTGTGAACCTGCTGCTGGAGCACACTGAGGAGGAGAGCCTGGAGCCTGCCGAGCCCACCCCCAGTGTGCGCCGTGAGTTCCCACTGAAGGTGCGCCTTTCCACAGGCAAGGACGTGCGGCTCAGTGCCAGCTTGCCCGACACGGTGGGCCAGCTCAAGAGGCAGCTGCACGCTCAGGAGGGCATAGAGCCGTCCTGGCAACGATGGTTCTTCTCCGGGAAACTGCTCACAGACCGCACACGGCTCCAGGAAACCAAGATCCAGAAAGATTTCGTCATTCAGGTCATCATCAACCAGCCCCCACCACCCCAGGACTGACAGGCCAGGCCGGCAGACTCCAGTGAGGAGAGGTCATGGAGGCCTCCGTGGGCTGGAACACTGTCCCCACCCTGCTGTTGCCTTCAAGTGCTGTTGTTTCCGTCAGGCGCATTGCCCCGCTGTGTGGCTCTGGTGAGCCGTGAAGGGACCTTGCCTCCCAGGGAGTGCCCAACACCAAGCAGCAATGCTGCCACACACAGGCCTTGCCAACCTTGTCAGAGGACAGGCGCCCCGGGGCCCTCCACCCTGCCTCTCTCCTGAAGCAGGTTTGAGCCACGGGCCGGCCTGGAGGCCCTGGAGCCCAGATCTGCCATCTGGTGCTGCCACTGCGCTCACTCCAGTTTTCTGCTCAGGGTTGGAAGCAGCTGCTGTCTCCCTCCTTTGCCCCCACCCTGACTCTGCCCTGGGCACAGTGCCAGTCCCCTGGAGAGGAGGGAACAACCAGTGAGCCCCAGGGCTCGGGGAGCCTGAGGTGGGCCTCTGCCTCTCCCTGCCTCTTGCACAATTGGCAGAGAAGAGGTGGGTGGACAGACAGCTGGGCTTTGTGTCAGGGGTCTGCACAGGGCCATCTTCTGGCTGTAACCCAAATGGTGGGGTCTGCAGCCTGGTCATGGTCCCACAGCAGGTCTCTGTGTACAGACATATCTGCGTATTTATCAATAAAGCCTTTTGCTCCTTCTCTGTTGCCTGGTGTTTGACTTTGAGTTCTACAGCTCAGAGCTCCTGCTGGTGCAGGGACAGGTGGGCATGGTGTCCCTGGCTGCTGTAGGCACAGGAAAACAAGCTGACCTGAGATTCTGTCTTCTGGGCCCTAATTCCAACTCCTCTCGTGTTCTTGGAGCAGGTCCTTAGAAAAAGCTGCATAACTCCTGAACCCACAGGACTTCATAAAGTGGAGGTGCTGCTCCTTGCCCTGCCTTCTCCAGCGCTGCTGGGAGGGTTAAAGGGGGAAATAGATGTGCAAGTGCCTTGGAAGCAGAGCAGCACCTCAGGAAGGTGGCATTCGTCGCCCGTGGTCTTCTCTTGCCTTGGAAGCTCCAGGCCCACAAGCTGTGCCCTCACAACTGAGGTCTGTGTGGAATCCCAGAGGCACTGTGCCCATGTGAGTCTCAAAGCAAAATCTCTGACACATTTAGATTGCGAGCATGTGTTAGAGATTTGTGAACCAGAGAGCAAAAACAATAGAGTCCTTGTGTTTTCCTGGGGAAATGAACATATCAACAGAGAGGGAATCTTAGGTAAGGCTGTTTAGCTAAGGGCAGGGCATGCGAGCACAACTAACTCAGAGCTGGGATGTCTACCATATGAGGCAGGCTAAAGTGGGTCGTGAAGACCCAAGGCTTGAACTCACAAGTTCAGGTGTGGACTTGAGCAAGGACAGGTCTTTTCCTCCAGTTGGGAGTATCTTTCCTTCTCAGCATGGCCAGCCCCAGAAGATAGCCTGTCTGGGTAGCTTGTCAGCTGGCCTTGGCATTGCACTATGGCTTTCTAATGGACCCAGGACCCAGGACAGTAATGCTCCGCTAGGGGGTGCTGTACCCCCCCAAACAAAGGCCAGCAAGAACCAGCTCAGAGGGAGCACACAGACATAGCAGGTGCCTTGGTACTTTGTCCTGCACAAAGCAGTCTGTGCCTCCACAGAGCCAGCAGAGTCTGTTCACAAGGCAGCGTGGGGGCACAGACTTAGCTGGGCCTCCATGATTGGTTTTTAGGTCCCCTGGTTGGCGCTAGTGGGGCAAGGTTTCCAGGCATCCAGCAGGTGGCACTGCCATCCGGTGGATCCTTTGCATGGCCCAGCGGCCCAGGGAAAGGCCCAGGCAGTCACAACTGCTCAGGACAGGCTGCAGAGCCTCCTGCCCACTGCCCTGCCCACTGTGCCCTCTGGCTACAATAGGCCAAGAGTTGGGGGAGGGGTGACTTCTCTGCCGCCTGGCCTCCCCGTGCTCCCTGGGGCTGCCCGAGGTGAAGGTGACAGGTTGGAAGGCAGATGGAGAATTGGGCCAGTGAGCTCATGGTAAAGGCGCCCAGCAGGCGGGTGTGGGTGCTCTGGCTTATAAAGCCCCCAGTGTCCTGTGCCTTCAGAAGCAGTTACAGACGGCACCGTGGAAGGCACCATGGAAGGCACCATGGAGGACACCATGGAGGGCACCATGGAGGGCTCCGAGGCGGTGCAGAGGGCCACGGCACTCATTGAGCAGCGGCTGGCAGAGGAGGAGGAGAGTGAGGTGGGTGCAAGGGTTTGGGGACCAAAGCAGGGTCTGAGGAGATCCTGTCTGTTGAGGGAGGGGAGACCCTGGCTGTCACTCTTATGGTCTGGAGGGTCTTGCCTGGCCCATTCCCAACCCATTGTGCTCCTGGCAGAGGGGGTTGCTGGTGCTAAGAAAATGGGGCTTCAGCCTCCAAAGCAGAATCAGGGGTACCAGGGAGCTGAATCAATCTTCCCAAGACTGCTCCCTGCCATGGGCTTCAGGAGCCAGGTCAGGCCATGCAGGGCGGATAGCTGCCCATGGCCTCGCAATGCCCAAAACATGCAGCCCTGAGGCCCCTCGCCCCTTCAGCTCTTGGTGGGAGGGTGGGCAGGAGCAACTCTAGGCTTCAGGTACTGCAGGAAAAGAAAGACCGTACAGAGCAGGGAAGGGAGGCCTGGGTCTCCCTCAGGACTGCAGCAGCTCCTGGGGAGGCCTTGGCAGCACAATTGCATTTTCTCCAGGATGAGGGAATGGGGTGGGAGTGCTGGCTGGCCCTACTCTTGATTTTGTTTAAACTAACACTTGAACTAGTGTCTGCTCTGCCAAGAGCCTGGTGCTGAGAGGAGTGGCAAGACCAATAAGGCTCAGACCCTGCCTTCTTTTCACCAGCCCAGCATTCATTTGAGCTAACACTTTTCGGTTGTATACTCAACTGAAAAGGCAGAAGGAAGAAATGGTTAAAGATGAGAGTCAGCAGTGAAAGAGCCTAAGGACAGGTGAATCATCCCACCTGTGGCCTTTAAGGACCTCAGTAGACAGGATGGTATTTGAATTGGGCCTTCAGGCATGATAAGTGGAGATGATGAAGGGGGAAGAGTATTCCAGCCTAAGGAAATGACAGGAGCTAAAGTCTTAGTGAATGAAAGTACGACCATAATGAGGAAGTCTGGTAGTAGGGAATAAAGCCAGAAAGAGAGGCAGAAGACAAGTCAGAAAGTACCATGTAAAAGAGGCTTATTCTGGGGATTTAGTTCAGTGGCAAAGCACCTGCCTGGCAAGTGCAAGGTCATGAGTTTGATTCCTGGTACCGGAAGAAAAACGAAAAACAAAAACAGAAAAACAACAAAAAGATGCTTATTCTGTGAGCAGTGGGGAGCTACTACCAAATGTTGCTTGAGGGAGAGTGGGGCCATCTAACCTATTTTAGGAAGACAGCTCTGATGGCCCTGAGAAGGATATTTTGGAGGGGGAAAGGCTAATGCTAACAACAGTGGGAAAGGAGGAAATAAGTTTAGAGGAAGGCACCAAAGGAAGTGTACCTCACTGAGGGGATGAGTAAGAGGGAAGGATCAGAGCTCCAAGGTAAGAAGAGGTAAGCTCAGCTTTGTCAGGCAAGAGCTTGGACCAAGACTGCTGAGTGCCGGCCAGGGCATCCCTGGATCTCCAGGAATCCTACTTCTCAGTCCCCAAGGCCATGTGCATGTGGCCAGCTGATGCCGGGCAGGGGACGCAGGCTGCTGTGTCATTCCTGGAGTGCTGCCACTAGACACAGAAGCCTTCAGCAAGGGAACACAGAGCGGTCTTCTTCCATTCATTCATCCAATAAATATAGCTTCAGGGGCACCAGGACACCAAGCCTGCAGAGCTAACCTCCCTACCTGGTGCTTACTACTGCCGGGCACTGTGCTGAGCACTTTACGGGAATTTTCTCAGTCTGTAAACAGGGAGAAATTTTGTTCAATGAGCTGATACTCAATTCAACAAACATTTGTTGAGTACCTATTGTGTGCCAGCCCACAGACAAATCAGAAGTGGGGCTTTCAAGTCTAAGCAAGGCACGGTGGCATTAGAGCTCACAGTTGTTTCCAGAGGGTTTCAGACAGAAGCCCGGTTAGCGTCCTCCATGTGGGAGTGCATAAGGGGCTGGGGCAGCTCAGGGGCAAGAGCTCTGTTGTGGGGAGTTTGTTGGGTCAGGTCATCACAGAGAGCCTAAGGTAGGCAGAGATGCTGAACCTACCTGCCATTATCCATTCACCAAATATCCACTGAAGACCTACAATGTCCCACGCCCCATCACAGGTGCCAGGGAGACCAAGATGATTAAACCATAAGCCTGCCCTCTAGATGCTCCAGGAGGAGCCCAGCCAGAGACCCACATGCAGGTGTAGCTGTAGCCCCAGGCCATCTTATCTCTGAAAGATACAGGGTTCCAGGTGAGGCCTGCACTCGGGAGACCACAAACTAAGTAAGTCTGACAAAAATGAGAGAGGCAGTGGTCAACAGGACCTTCAAATCAGAAACCTGGGAGACCAGCCCTCCAACCCACCCTGGAAGAAGCTTAGGCCAGGGCTCCCTGAGAAATGAGAGGAGCAGCTAAGTCCTCTCTGACTCAGCCCCCTCATCTGGCCAGATGTTTCTTTGTTTACATTTATTTGTTTACAAGATGGAGGGAGAGCTCCAGGGATGGGGTATCAGCACTTCACACAAAGTGAAGCATTCTGGGGACCAGAGCTACAGATGGCGAGGGGTCTTGGAAGGGAGTTTCACCGTATTATTACAAGGAAAGAAGGTGGATACTTACGATCCTTTTAGGATCAGCCTGAAAGCTGAGGCGCTGCTGCTCCCACCCTTTAATTTCCCCATGGATAACAGTTTCCAAACTCTAAGTAAAAGAAAAAAGTGTCTTTTTTTACCCCTGCTGGCAGTGGGGTGAGGTGGCTCAGTGATAATTTGCCTAGCATATTTGAGGCCCTGGGTTCAATTCCCAGCACTGGAAACAAAACAAAAAACAAAACAAAACAAATATCATTTCTGATCACGATGACTTCACCAAAGTGAATTTGTAACAATAAAAAGCTAAAACTTAAAAAAAAAAATCATCTTAGTGTTTTAAAAAGTTAATGTAGTTAGAACTCTATGTCCTTAGGTTCTGCTTCAGTGGATTCCACAACTACAGATAGCAAATATTCAGAAAAAATTGCAACTGTACTTAAACATGTACCAATTTTTTTCTTGCCATTCCTAAACAATAAAGTCTAACAAGGATTAACATAGTATTTGCATTGTATTAGGTGCTGTAAGTAATATGCAGATGATTTAAACTACATGACAAGATGTATATAGGTTACATGCAAATACCATTGTATGCAAGGATCTTAGTGTCCACTGTATTCCTCATTTTATAAAAAATTTACTCCAGTCTTGTTTAGGAATCCAGGCATTCAGCATGAAATTGAGCTGGGGTTAGGACTGAGGCTGAGGTGGGGAACTTGGAATTTACCCCTTTTGGGGCGCCTCTTAGGAGCCCTGCTGTTGCCTAGGCTCTGACCTTCCAGGAGGAATTCTCATCGGGGTATCCTTGGGATAGTTGGGGAGAGGCTACTAGTCCCCATGATCCTACACAGGGAACTCTCTTTGGTTCACCAGAAACTTCGAGGAGCCCCTCACAGGAAGCTGCCTATGGACATGCTGGTGCTGGAGGATGAGAAGCACCTTGGGGCCCAGAGCCAGGCTTTACAACAGGTTAAGGTAAGTGCGAGCTAACCCAGAGGATTCTCAGATCCTCTCATCTTCTGAGGTCCTTGGGCCAGCAGCTCAGAGCCCTGTGCCCTTGTAAGCAATGCAAAATCCAAGCCACCAACTACTGTGTCAGAATTCATCCTCTCCATTTGCTCCATCCTGTCCTAGAAGAGACTTAGACCTTGGTTCTTCCTCTCTTGAGAAGATCTCCTTACTGCACCAAGTCTCCAGCTTAGTTGAAGGGTCCTTCAAGCCCCACAAATGCCACACTCCATGTAGGTGTTTATGACCTGCTCCCACACAGGGCCAAGAGCGTGTGCGCAAGACATCCCTGGATCTGAGGCGGGAGATCATCGATGTGGGCGGGATCCAGAACCTCATCGAGCTGCGGAAAAAACGCAAGCAGAAGAAGCGGGAAGCCCTGGCCGCTGCCCAGGAACCACCTCCAGAGCCTGAGGATATCGTAAGGGACTGGGGAGGGAGTCCTGTGTGGGCAGGGGAAGGTGCGAGGGTACACCCTGGATATATGGACTCGACTGGACTCACACCCTGCAGAGTGGCCCTGTGGATAAGGAGGTGTTCCTGAAAGCGGCAGTGGAGGGGAAAATGAAGGTCATTGAGAAGTTCCTGGCAGATGGGGGCTCAGCTGACACCTGTGATGAGGTGATGTTCTCTCCCACCCAGCCCTGCACCTCGCTCCCTCTCAGAGCTGCCACCCCCATCCTGCTTTAGCCTATTTGTGGGCCTGAGGACAGCTATGGGTGTTTCTTGGGGTCTGAGGGGTGCCTCAAAATGGGATACTTCCTTCCTCAGGCAGGAATTTACCTAAATCCTTAGGCCTTTCCCTAGCTCAGATTGCCTCCAGGGCAAGGAAGAGCATACATTTGTTTAGGGAAGATGAAGGAATGAATAAAAAAGATCTCAGAACCAGCCTATTTGGACTCGAACTCCATGTCCACCACTCTAAATGTGGGGTCTGTGGCCAGGTCATTGAGTTTTCTCCACTGTTACAGAACCCACATTTCTCATAATGTTACAATTAATGGAATATTAACATCTCAATAAATATTTATTGAATGAATGCAAAACCTATAAAGCAAATGTTAGGATATATTTTTGTTTCTCATGATATAATCTTATGCTGCCTTTAAATCCTTTTTGTGTTTGTACTGGAGATTGAACCCAAGGCCTCAGGCTTATTAGGCAACAACTCAACCACTGAGCTATACCCCTAACTCATTTTTTTATCCTGTTGTGGTAAAATATGCCATGAAATATGCCATTTTAAGCCACTGTAAGCATGTAATTCAGTGGCTGTAATTACCTTTACCATGTGCAACCATCATCACCACCTCTTTTTTTTAACCATCTATTTTTAAAATATTTCCATCACCCATCATACTTGTTGTTTTCCCTTTGCTCCCTTGCTCTCTTACCCTAGAACTAAACACAGTAATGATCATTCGACCTCAGCCTGCATTACTGTAGACTTTGACCCTGTCCTTTCTGTTCTTTAGCCTCCAGGGTCTTAGTCTTTTTTGTCCGTCCAATCACCTTCTCTTATTTAGTACTGGGAGTTAGAAAAAGAAAAAGGTTGGGAGTTAGAAAAAGAAAAAGGTTGAGAGTTAGGGGAGCTTAGCCGCAACCAGATCATTAACAAGTAGAAAGATACAGCCTACAGCTCTGACCAAGGGTTTCCGTTTCAAGAGTTCAAAGCAGAAAGTGCTACACTGAAAAGGGAAGAGGTTCATTCCTTCCTTGAATCAGTAATCAGTGTGACTTCTTCATCCTGGCTTAGTGCTCAGCACTCAGGGGAAATAGTGTCCAAGAAGTCTTGCCCTGGGTCACCTGGGTCCCCAGACCAACTCTGGCCTAGAGGTTTCAAGGAAACAATGGCACATAGTTGCATCTTAAAGGAGTAGCAGATATTAATCCAGCGCTCACAGAACCAAAGGCAAAACAGACGTGCCCAGCAGAGAGGCCAGCCTGTGCGGCCAGGCCGACGTGCTGGTGGGCAGTGAGGTCAGAGTCCCCGGGGCAGAGGGTCGAAGGATGGTCTGATCTGAGAACATAAAGGAGTGAGCAGACTGTGGAAGACATGGAGACCTAGCACAGGGGGCAGAATCAAGTTGTGGCAAAGCTTGGGCTTCAACTTGGGTCGGGGGAGATGGGCGCAGGCCTAGGGCCAGAGGCCAGAGGCCAGGTCCTGATGGCCTCTCTGGGGACAGTTTCATCGGACAGCTCTGCACCGAGCTTCCTTGGAGGGCCACGTGGAGATTCTGGAGAAGCTTCTTGGGAGTGGGGCTACCGTGGACTTCCAGGATCGGGTGAGCAAGAGGGCCCGTATTGAATGGGGAGGTATGAGGTGGGCCCAGTGCCATTAGACTCCCTCCCTCAGCCAATCTGGGACTCAATAGACTACTCAGGGCCAGGTCCCACTTCTAGTGGGTTGTGTGACACAAGGCAAGCTCCATCTCCTTCCTGAGCCTCCTGTCACTCTGGCATGGACCACTAGCGAGTCCCTGCATGCTCTGTCTACTGCCCAGATCCAGGAGTGTCTCTGCCCATTCCCAGTACCTTTCCCCTGTGTGTCTCTCTGTCCTCTTGGCTGGAGTCCTTTTCTCCAGGGCACTTGCTTCCTTACAACTCTAAGTTAAGCCTTTTGTTTCCCTTCCAGCTGGACTGCACAGCCATGCATTGGGCCTGTCGTGGAGGCCACCTAGAGGTGGTAAAACTCCTACAAAGCCATGGCGCAGATACCAGTGTGAGAGACAAGGTAACGGTGCTCAGATGCAGTAGATATTGGGGTCACTGCAGGGAGGTGGACAGGGGACAAAGGGCAGTGGGCCCAAGTGGTAGAAGAGAGTGACAGCCTTAAGCCTGGAAGGCACCACCATCTGGTAGTGGAAGAGAAAGAGCAGAGGAGAGAGGAGGACAAAAGACCCACTGTTTTGGGGGCTTGGGGTCCACTTCTACTGTGGGTTTGTTCATCCATGCAAGCCATCATCTATTGACCCATCCACCAGCCATCCGTCCAGTGATCTATGCGTGTCTCAATCATTATCCATCTGCTCATTTATTAATCCACCACCCTTCTGTTCCTTCATATATAATCCCGATAAGAGATTTTTTTCTTTTTGGTGGCAGGGGATTACAGGGAACCAAACTCAGGACCTTGTACTTGCCAAGCAGGCACTTGTGCCACTGAGCTATATCCCCAGCCCATAATCCTGATGAAGTAGTTTAGCCCCCGAGTCTCTGTTCTTCCTCTGTAAGTGTTTTGCAGGGTTCTTGGCTAGATTATATGGGGCAATGCATGTACTCAACATAAAGCTAATACTTGTATGTTTTGGCATGTCATCGCATGTCATCTTGTAATAAGTAGCATCTACCACAATGATTCAAAGAAGAGTGGGCTAGAATTGGATTTGGTGGCGGAGCACTACCCTAGCATGTGCCAGGCCCTGGGCTCAATCTCCAGCACCACAAAATAATAATAAATAAATGAAGAGTGAACGGTTGCTTACAGCAGTGTGAGAGGAGAATGAGAAGGCTGCCAGAGGTGGTAGCATTTAAAGCTTTAGAGTTAGACCATTAGGTAGGATGGCGGAAAGTTGTACCAGGCCCAACCCCTTCAGGGCTCACATCTTGGCAAAAGGGTTTAGGGGAAAGATTAATATGGCGTTAGAACAGGCCAGGAGTGGTGGTGCACACCTGTAATCCCAGCACTTGGGAGACTGAGGCAAGAGGATTTCTGTGAGTTTGAGGCCAGCCTGGAATACACAGTGAGACGTTGTCTCAAAAAAAAAAAAAAAAAAAAAAAAGGTAGAGTTAGAACAGTCCCCCATCCCAGAGGCACCATGGTCTGGGGCCCTCAGCCAGCTATTCCTGTCTATGCCCACAGCTGCTGAGTACCCCTCTGCATGTGGCAGTCCGCACGGGGCGTGTGGAGATTGTGGAACACTTTCTATCCATGGGCTTGGATATCAATGCCAGAGACAGAGTGAGTGCTTCCCCTGCTCCCTGGCCAGCCACACCTTGATTGTGTGGGCAGATTGTCAGCTCCCACAAGCAAGTGGTCCTTTCTTCTGGGACCCTTGGGACAATGGCTCCTGAGCAGGGTCTCTAGCCCACCTTCTGTCACCCTGCTCCCTGCCTACTGCCCCCAAGGGCTGTGTTGAGTGCTACCCTGGCTCTAGGAAGGAGACAGTGCCTTGCACGACGCCGTGAGGCTCAACCGCTACAAAATCATCAAACTGCTGCTCCTTCACGGGGCTGACATGATGGCCAAGAACCTGGTAAGTACACATATCATTGTCTCTGCCCATCAGCATAATACACAAGTTGTCCTCTTCCACTAATACCATTCCTACCACCCACTTCCCCAGTGTGTGTGTGTGTATCCAGAGTACAAGCCCAGAGAAACAGTAAGAAGTGCAGTTCCTTTCCAAGGCACCAAAATAGGCCAGGCATCCTAACATACAGGCCAAAGTGTGGCGGAGATAATGGAGGGACAGAACTGGGAGGCAGCTAAGCACTTGGTTTGCATGACTATTCCTGTTCCCAGCAGTCCTCAGGTTTTCTGAGGATTGACATCCCCTAGTTCAAGTTCTTCTGTGGGGCTCAGAGCAAGCACAAAAGAAAGGGGTGTGGGAAGCCTCCCACCCTGACTCAAGAAGGGCTGAGGGAATAGTGGGAAAAGCAGAAAGCTATGGAGGGGATGTTTCTCAACCTCAGCACTGTTGACATTTAGAGGGGGAGAATTCTTGTGGTAGGGGCACTGTCCTGGGCCTTGTTAGAATGTTTAAGCTTCTGCCCACTAGATACCAGTAGCACCCACATCCCAGTTGTGACCACAAAATGTCTTCACCCATGGCCAGTTGCCCCCAGTTGAGAGCCACTGACATCCAGTAGGCTCCAGAATTGTGGACAGATCTCCCTGTGGTTCCTTCAGGCAGGAAAGACCCCCACAGACCTGGTGCAGCTGTGGCAGGCTGATACTCGGCATGCCCTGGAAAACCCTGATCCAGGGACAGAGCAGAATGGGCTAGAGGGGCCTGAGAGTGGACGTGAGACCCCCCAGCAAGTTCCAGCCCAGTAAATGCCCGCTTCAGCCCAGCAGACACCCAGCCTCTCCTGTGTGCACCAGGGAGTATCCTAGAGTGACCCCCCAAGAGCTGAGGACCCAGCCTCTCCATCGTACAATTCAGGAATACCCACAAACTAGCACAATAAAAATTGTTTTTGCTATTTGTGGGTGTTTGTTTCTCTTTGTGTTTGAAATTTTATAGGAATGAAGACTGGGCCAAAGGTGGGTTTGGGGACAAAGGCAACTTGGAGCCCTTTGGCCTCTCTGAGCCAGCTCTGCTGTTTTCTCTACTGTGGCCTTGTTTCTTCTCTGCCACCCCATTTTTCTGCAACTTCCCAAATCCTGGGTCCCAGGTACGGTCGCTGCACATGTCAGCCTGGCGATATTCTCACCCCACCACCATCCCAGGACTGCTGTTCTGTGGAACTCTGTATGGCCAGCACAAGCCTTACACTTGGCCGCTTTGGCAGGAGGAGCCTGGCAAGGATGTGAGGCAGCCACTGTCACGAGCAGCTTCTGTCCCTCCCCTCCCCATGCAACACCTCCTTCCGGCAGAACAGGGCCAGGCCAGCTCAGCCAATCAGCTCTGCCAGCCTCCAGCCAGCCTAGAAACTGATAGGGCCCCAGGCTTTGCGGCTGGGAGTTGTAGAAGGAGGGCCCAGGCCCGACTGCAGAGACTCTTTAGTGTTGGCACCCAGAAACCAGTCCCGGGTCTGGCCAGAGGGACACGGTTTGTGGCATTTCTTTAGCTGCTCCCCAGAGGGAAAAAGGGCTATTTGGAACCTGTAGGTCTTGCTTCTGACCCTGGGAGCACCCAGCTTAGACCTCCCCAGTGCTTAACAAGTCTGGGGGGGCTGCCAATTTTTAACTAGACACGTTGATCATTAACAGGGGAGAGAGAGGAGTTCAAACTTAGCCTCACTTGGGGACATAGGCCAGCTAGGCCCCAGGCTGCCTGAGAGATGCTGGGTCCCCGAGTATGGGCCTCTGTGAGGCAGAGGCTGAGCAGGGGCTTGTCTAGGAACGTGAGGGGCTGGGCCTCAGGGGGAGGGAAGAAGATGGACATCGCAGGCATCTATCCCCCTGTGACCACCCCGTTCACTGCCAACGCGGAGGTGGACTATGGGAAATTGGAGGAGAATCTGCACAAACTGGGTACCTTTCCCTTCCGAGGTAAGCAGGCCTGTCCCCCATGGGAGGACAGAGGCCAGGGAAAGCATGCAGGTGCTGGCACCCAGACCAAACTCTGTTTCCCCAGCTGTAAAGGGCTAATATGCCTTCTGAGCTCCCAGAGCTACTGTGGGACTGTGCTGGAGAATGGGCTTTGCATCCTTGTGAAGCAGGGCCTCAGGCTGGTGTGACTGCGTCACAGGAGGTCACATGCGGCAGTGCAGCCAGCGTCAGCCTCCTTGTCCTCCAAGCCTCTTTTGCGTGTCTCTTCTGGGCCAAGGTTTCTTGGCACAATTAGTTCTTGTTCTGGCTCCTCTGACTCATCTCTTCCTTTATACATGGGTCTCCCTCTAGCTGAGGCCAGGGACTCCAGTGTGCCCACACAGCCCCAGGTGCAGTACAGGAAGGTGGAAGGAAATGGCAATCTAGGGTAGTCAGTGGACAGTGATAGTACCACCTCAGGGATGGGAACCTGGGACTCAGAGACATGGCCACTGTCCAAGACCACTGAGCTACCACGTGGCTGGGCTGAGGTTGGAGCTGGCTGTGATGGCACGGCTCAAATTGTTTCTTTCTGCTCACTGAATCTGTCACCCTGCTCTGAGTCACTAAACCCGACTATTTCAACAAATAGCGTTTGGTGGGTACCAGCTTTGGGAATGGTGTGGCTATGACTTTGGTGATGCAGGGTAGTAGTTAAGATAGTGGACTCTGGTTTCCAGTCACAGCTCTGCCCCTGACTTATAGTGGGATAATGTCTCTAAACCTCAGTTTCCTCATCTGACTCACGGGAGTAATAATGGCTGTGAAATGGTTGGGAGAAAAATCAGAGGATGCAAGTGACAGCACACTGTAGATTACAGAGTGCTGTACATGAGAAGGTATTGATTGCCATGGTGATAAGTATTAAAATGGCAGTATGACTGGTAATGTGGCATAGCTGCTTTGTGACAGTGACCAGTGGTACAACTGAGCTTCCCTTCATGGCTCAGTATAGAAATGATGTGACCCTTCCCCAGTGTGTCTCTTGCACACTCAGCGCGAGCAGGGAAACCACCTCTAAGTGAATGTCTGCCTTGGATTGCTCATGGGGGTCTAAAGCTTAGGTGAGGCATGTTCCCCTTGAAGCAAAGCAAGAAGGTCCTGAGCCTCGGACAGAAAGTTTCAAGCTCCCAGGACTCTAGATCAGGAAGTGGGAGGGAGGATTTTGTATCTGGTATCTTCCTGCCACCCAAAGAATTCCCAGAAGCCCTCACACTCCTCTCTAGATGCTCTCCTTTCCATCCTGCAAAGCCACTCTGCTGTGGGCATGGGGGCCCCAGAGCGCAGGCTTTGGGGGACTCTGCATATAGTCTCCTGCCTGGTCTGATCTCTCTGTCAGCCACACATCAAGGAAGCAGGGACTGTGGGACAAAGAGCCCAGCACCTGCAGGTGGAAGATCTGCATAAGGCTCCTGGCTGGCCATTAGGGCAGCTTGAGAAATTATAGAACCTGTCTAGTCTGGATTCCTCATTCCAGAACGACAAGCAGACCCTTCAGGCTTCTAGCCACAGACAACACAGAGCCAGGGTATCCTGTCATGGGGCCTCTGTGGACTCAGTCAAACTACGTCAGCTCTAAAATCTATTTCTCTTGTCCAGTTCTGCAGTGGGCCTTACAGCCTATACTTGGGCAGAGGCGCAGCTATCACATTTTGCGTTGAGAAGTGTCTGCAACAACATGCCCTGGAAAGAGAGGAAAGGAAGGGGAAGTAAAAAGAATTAAGATGTGTTATGCATTTGTATCAACTCTATAAGGGATGTATTTGTTATGTACTGCAAGCATGTATAATTGAAGAAAAAAAAATCTAAAGAGGCAGTGGAAGCCTAAAGGAGAGAACACACAGACGTCTTCTTGAAGGCCCTGCCTAAAATTGTGTAGCTATTTTTTAAAAAAAATTTTAAAAAAATCATTGCTAATTTATACTCTTTGAAAAAGTTATAACCAGAAATTGAGCACACACCTTAATCCCACCATTTGTGAGGCTGAAGCAGGAGGATTGTGTGTCTGAGGCACCTGGGCTACATAGTGAGTCTGAGGCCACCCTGGACTACCTAGTGAGACCCTGGCTCAGAAAACAAGCAAAAAAAGGTTATAATTAGAGACCAAAGGGAGGGGTTCTCCAGAGGGTCATATGGCCTGAACTCGCCTGTAAATAACCTCGAAGGTGGACTTTGAATTGTTATTTCCAACTGAGGTTAGTGGACAGCCACAGAGCTAATCAAGCAAGACAGGGGAGATGTTGCCCATAAAAATTTAAACTAATATCCTCTTTCTATGAAAAGTAGGCCATGATTTCTTGTGAAAGATAAACTATTTTTGCATATACTGGTATTAAAATCATTACTGTTAGAGGAGATGTTTTGTTTAAAATGTCACAACTTTTACAGCCTATTTTGGCATTTAATTAATTAATTAATTAATTAATTTATATATTGAGATAGGGTTTCGCTATGCAGTTCAGGGTAGCCTTGAACTCACTGTGTAGCCCAGGCTGGCCTTGAACATGCAGTGATGCTCCTGTCTCAGCCTCCCAAGTGCTAGGATTACAGGCCTGAGCTACCACACCTGGCTTCAGTTTCAAAATGTATTAGATGACTTCAGCAGAAAAATAAAGCAGCCCAGGCATATTTTTTCACTGAGACGCATGAGAATTACTCAGGATTATGCAAGCCCCCAGGGAGAGCCTGGCCCAGCAGCCTGCCTTCTGCCACCCTGCCCTGTGCTCATTGCCATGAGGTGCGTTTTGGATTTGCAGGTGCATCCTAAGGCAAGAGGCAGCAGACACCACTTTGCAATGGCACTGGGGCTAGGGACTCAGGGAAGTCTCCTGTCCTATCTGCTCTGCCTTCCCTGCCCACTGCTTGTCTCTTCCCACGTGACCCCAAGTCATTCCAGAATGAGTGCCTTCCTGAGCCCTTTTCCTTCTAGGTTCTGTCATGTAACAGGGCTGGAGGATGGAAATGGGGATGGAATATGCTGAGCTGGTGGTAGAGATGCGTCTGGCTGGAGGAAGATACTAGTCTCAGGAAGCCAAGAATGGATGCCATCCCAGCCAGGGCCAGCCTGATTCAGCATGCTCTGCCCTTGGGGCCACCAAATGGGGAGGAAGAAAAACCAAAGACTGGAAGATAAGGACTGAGTAGCAAAAGCCAATGGGAAATCAGAATTGGAGAAACTGTCCTTCCACTGACCTTAGGACAGTGCCCAGTGAGGGAGACAGGACCCAGGCCTGAGGTAATGACCGCCAGGCTAGACTTGAGGGCTCCATGGCTGCCCCTCACCCCACCCCCAACTGTCTTCCTCACAATGGGGCTCATTGCCAAGGCAACAGGGGTAGCCAAGGGAGGGCGTGGCAGCATCCTGGGTGTCAGACAGGAGAGAGCTTGCCCTTTCAAGCATGAGCCATACCACCTGGCTCCCCAACTCCCAGTGTGCTCTTAGCTCTGCCTGTCTAGCTTAGGGTCCTGGAGACCTTCTTGGAGTTCGTCCAGCAACCATCATGCAAGGTGGTGCTGGGGGCCATCCTCTTGCTGGGAGGTGGAGGCCTCATGCTGTGGGCTCAGAGGAAGAGAAGTAAGGTACCCCCTGAGTCCACACAAGATGAGTCACCAGAATCCCACAAAGAAAACGAAAGCTGGATCAAATCTCACTTCAGCTGCCTGTCTAAGGAGAAACTGGCCCCTGACAACCATGCCAGCACCAGCAGCAGTGTCATCCAGCCTGAGAACAGGAGTGGGAAAACCAGCACCACCATTCGTGTGGAGACCGTCACCTCCAGGCCCAGGGAAGCGGGCACAGGTCTGCACCGGGAATCTGTCACCAGCAGGCAGAAGATGTCTGGGTCCGCCGTGACCAAGGAGACCCACAGGGAGTCAGGAAAGCCCTCGTCCATGGACAAGGCCACATGGGCTGGTGTGGCTGCTTGTGTCAAGGAGATTGATGCCAAGGGGCAGCATGTGGCTAACTCTATGCTGCAGCGAGCCACGGCTTACCAGCACTCAGGCCACCTGGATTCCAGGGACATCAACCCGGAGGAGCTGAAGGCCCTTGAAGAGGTGGAGATGAAACTGAAGAGGAGTTTCCTCACCCAGCAGGAAGCCACCATGGCTGGTGCCAACCACACACGCACTTTCTATGGTCACCAGAGCCACCAGAGTCATGCCGGCCACCCGAGCCACCAGAGTCAGACGGGCCACCAGAGCCAACAGAATCACCCAGGGCACCTGAGCCACCAGAGCCATAGCCTGCCCAACCGCAGCCACCAGATGTATAATTCTTGAAGCTGCCAAAGCACATGCCCCTTCCCCCAGCAGGGCTGGCCCATACCAACAGGCCTGTTTTCTCTTCTACGGGGAAACTTACGTGGCCCAGGGTGAGATGCTGTCACCAAAATCCTTTCTTCCTCAGCCCCTTCCCCAGGGGTCTTGAGTAGTCTCTTCCATAGAGGATGGACCCTGCTGGAGGAAGAGCTGCAGGGAAGTGAGGCAGCTGTGACAGACCCTGAGGCCCCTGAAGACCCACCAAGAGGAAACAGACGAGGCAGACCCCAGGAGCGGCCAAGAGCCCCACTGACGCTGAATGCCTGGAACGGAGCCAATAAAGCCTTGTATTCCCTCACTCTGAGTCGAGGGGTTCTGTGGACAGCCTGGGTCTGGGAGAGGTGAAGGGAGAGGGTTCCTTCTCCAGCAGTCGTCTGCATCTAGGCCTTGCCTTGGCGCCTTTTCCCTGGGCCTGATTTTGAGACTCCATGAAACAGCTCCTCTGACCCACCATCACTCTTCTACCCCATTCCAGTCTCAGGTACTGGGAGAAATACCTCTAGGGGCCTCCAACCCACCAACCTGCTGTTGCTAGAGAAGGAGGAAGCAGACAGGTATTAGGGGAGAGGGATTAAGGAACAGGTTTTCAGAACAGAATGAGGAAGTCAGGTGGGACTTTGACCCTGTCCTCTGGTACCATCTCAGATCCATGGTGTCCCACACTCTATCTCTCTTCCTGCCCCACCTGCTTCCAGGGGCCCCTAGGAATCCATGCTATAACCTCCCTACCATTAAGCTTGTTTATGTCCCCACAGCTTGTGCTGTGACTGTGGCTACTGCTGCTGTACATGTTACTGGTATTACTGGAAGCTTCGTCTTTTTTGAGTCTTTTGTTTTGAAAAAAGGATACACCATAAATTTTTTTTTAAAGTACATACCCCACCCTGTGTTAAGTGTTAAGTCATAGCTCTACGATGAAGGCCTTAGGTTATATCCATTTTACAAAGGAGGCTGCTGAGGTCAGAGACACACTTTGCCCAAGATAGTAAGAGATACTGCTGGGAGCAGATCATAGCTCTGCCTGACTCCAAAGCCCATAGGTCCCTAACCCTTTCCAGTGCTGCCTCCCACTCGTCTGCCACCAGTCCACACGGCCCTGCCTCTTGTGTTTATCATTTGACCTCTTCTCAGACATCCTGACAATTCTTCTGCTTAGGATTCTTCAGTGTCTCCTTTTCCCGGGTCCCAAGGAGGTATTTTGGGGGGCTCATGGTGACCTATCCCCAGACTGCCACCTCTCCAATGAATCTCTAGAGATGTCTACTACAAGGCACTAACTCAAAGTGACTCTTCGACAGACATTTCTTACCATTTGGATCTATTAGAGATTTGCTGGTGTCCAGTCTGTGTCCTTCAAACCCCAGGTCCGGGGCTGGGGATTTAGCTCAGCGGCAAAGCGCCTGCCTGGCAAGTGCAAGGTCATGAGTTCGGTTCCCGGTACCGGAGAAAAACCAAAAAAACCAAAAAAAAATAAATAAATTAAAAAAAAAAACCCAGGTCCTTTCAAAGGGAAAGAGAAACTGGGATGGAGGAATGGAGAAAAGAAGGAAGGGAGAAGCCAAAAAAAAAAAAAAAGAAAAAAATACATATGATAATGAAGATAGTTATACTACTGATTTCTCTTAGTTCATTGAAAAGAAAGGTTTGTGCTAATATTGCTTGGACAATTAAATGCTGATCTCAAGGCCAGGCATGGTGGCGCCCATGGTAATCCTTGTACTTGGGAGGCTGAGGCAGTAGGATCATTGTGAGTTCAAGACCAGCCTGCACTACAAAGTGAGCTCAAGGCCAGCCTGAACTGCCTAGTGAGACCCTGTCTCAAAAAGACCAAAAAAAAAAAAAAAAAAAGAAAAAAAGAAAAAAAAAATGCCTATCTCTCGTACTCTAACTAATTTAAAGATAATAAAAGGCAATGTATTAACCACTGTAACCCTCCTATTATTTTGTTTTGAAATTTTATCTTTTTGTCTCTCTCTAAAAAAAACCAAACCCTACGTACTCAAAATCACTGAAAAGCATGGATAAGTCCATAAACAACCCAAACAAATTGATTCTGAGCACAGCTTGGGGTATTTGAATTTTGGGAACATTACCAATAAGTGTCCATATAAATTTGGATTTATATATCTATACATTTAAAACACTTCATAATAAAAATTTTAGCTGGGAAAAATAGGATCAATTACACAGGAAAAATGTTAAATTAGACAAAAAACAAGACAGTGGTGAGGCTTGGCATCTGAAGGAATTGTTAAAATACATGTACGTATCTGGGAGACCTTAAATTCCTTGCTAAAAGTTTATTACATGAAATTTCAGGTTAGCTAATTATGATCTTGTAAGCTTAACTTTAAAAAATTTCTCAAATTGATAAAATTAAGTCTTCAGTTAGAGCTGGGGAGTTAGCTCAGTGGCGCAGCACCTGCCCGGCAATCGTGAGCTCCTGAGTTTGATTCTCCATACCCCTCCCAAAAAGTCTTCAGTTAGTATTATACCCATGTGAATTCTTTGGTTCTGATCATTTACAATAGGTAAAATGTTGTTAATGGAGGTTAGGTGTGGGATGTATAGAAATTTTCTGCATTATTTTTGCAACTTTTCTGTAGGTTTAAAGGTAATTCAAAATTTAAAGTTAAAAATTTCAGACTATTTATGAGCACATGTCAGTTTTATTACAGCTATGCTGTAAGCAAAATGGCCTCTAGGCAGTCAATTCAAGTATACACTCTCGGTGAGGACATTTTTTATTAGAAAACAGACGATGGATCACTGTTAGACTGGATGCAAAGAGCAGTTAATGGCCACTAGACACTGGCCTGAGTCAAAAGGGAAGGTGGCTGGCTTCCCGGATCAAGGCTTAAGTCCATTAATGTTCATCAGAAAATTGCTTAAGCATTTTATTGGGAATGCAAATTTCTTCCCAGAGGGAGGTTAGGAATTACATCATGCAAAAATAGTTCTGCCCCAGGCCAGATTTGTGACAATGTTTTTGTTTTTGTTTTTTTGAGATAGTCTCACTATATATGTAGTCCAGGCTGGCCTTGAACTCACTATGATGTAGCTCAGGATGATGTTGAACTTCCGTGATCTTCCTGCCTCAACGTCTCAAGTGCGACAAAATTTCTTTTATATGACACATTGCCAAAGTATACCTAGACTGGTCCGCACTAGATGAAAGTGCTGTGGAGCCCAGAGGGGAAGGAAGTGAGGAAAAGCTTGGTGTTCTCATAGCATTCGAAAGCTTCCACCAAGGCCAGGCAGAAGGACACAGCATATGCAAATATGCAGACGCAGGACAGTGGCAGTGTGTTTGTGGGGGTGGGGCATTGACAAGTTTTTTTATGTGGTGCCAGGGGTGGAACCCAAGGCCTCTTGCATGCTAGCACTCTGCCACTGAGTTCTTTTCCAGCCCTGACAATTTTGATGGAAGGAAAACATTAAGAGACAGACCGATGGTAGGGGAAAAGCCAGAAGAAAAGTGACTGTGGAACCCAGAGCCAGGGAAGACTTTAGAGACCATCTGATCAGATTTATCATTTTACAGAAAGGCCAGATTGAGATGTTTTGCCTAATCCTACAGAGGGGTGGGGTGGAGATGGGATTGAAGGGTTCTGAGGACCTCTGGGTAGGTGAGGAGGCAGGAAGTACAGGGAACAGGAAGTGGAAGTCAGAGTAGAGAGGTCCAGTGGATACCTCCCTGGAAGAGTTCTTGGAGGACGCAATAACGATGATGAAATATAGCTAAGGAGTCATAACAGTGACCAGGAATACTCCTTATGGAGGACAGATTGTGATTCCTTTCGACCATAGTAAAATCACCATGTTTGTACATCCCTAGTCCCAAAAACCCAGTGCCCCATCAAGCCAGCCTGGATTTCTAGAGCAGCCAGTGTAACCAGGGGAGCAGTTGAGAGTCGCTTCCAAAATGAGAATGCCTCGGCTTTCAGTTGGGGCTGGGGTGTCAGGCCCTCCTCCAGGTTTCCCTTTAGCACCAGCTATTCTCCATTTAAGGCTTAACACTTTCTTCTGTCTCCATGACAGCTAACACTTACTGACTACCAGGTTCTAGCCTAGAGTACCACACTCTCCCGTCCTTAGCCTGGGAGTCAGACCTAGAGCAGATGCCCCCTTCCAGGGGCAGGAGAGAGGGTCATGCTGTGGGAACCTTGAGTTACCTCCCCGAGTGCCAGATCCTTCCATCCTGCTTTGAGGCAAGGGGCTCAAGGGTCCTCTGGAACTGATCACTGGATGAAAAGCTGACTTGGCAGTGACTATAGTTGGGTCAGGACTGTGGCATAAGTCCATCCTAGCCCAGGGTGGAAGATGGCTTTGGCTTTTGCATAGAGAATTAGCAAGAATCTGACCTCTAACTCCTTGGTCCAGGAAGCTGTCCGATCATGGACAGATCAGAGCCCTCACCCAGGACTGGCAGCTTTTCTGGGAAAGCTCTGGGTCTGATGTAGCAGCATACAAAAGCCTCTTCCCTTCAGCTTCCTGCCTGATGTGGAGGAGCCGGTCCTCAGGAGGCAACCTGATGGAACCTCAGGATGTTGCTTGCTACATTACCAAGGCACACAACTTGAAAGAAAAGAAAGGGAGGAAAATTAGGCTAGCTGTGTGTGATAGCCTGGCAAGCCACTCAGTGGAATCTAATGGTGTAGTAATAGCGTGGCTTGTGTACTGAATCTACATCACACTGTGTCCCCTTAAGGGTGACTCACAGGGACAATTTCTCTGGGTTTGTGCCAGGGCAGCTGCTTTGCTTTTATCTTTTAAGTTCTACATATCTGTTAGCTGAGCACATTTCCCTTTTAGTTTTGACTGCTGGGAAGCTCCACTTCATATTCATGGCTCATCTCTCACAACCATTTGGCAGGGCTTTTGTATACAATACAAGTCTCGGTTTTCTTTTTATTTTCCCAAACATCTTTCTATTTATTAATAATCTGACTGTGTGAAGGATTTGTGAACTATTTCAGTTTTGTAAAAATTGGAATAGAGTGGAGAGGAGAAAGAAGGGAAAAAAGAAAGTTGAATGGAAAAACAGGAAGTAATTCTACTAACATTCCTTTGGATTCCGCTGAAGAACATAAATCCTTTTGGTTCTTAGAAATAAAATGTTGGAAGCTTCTCAAATAATACAAAGTGAAGCAATGAGATGTAAATTTTTACCCAGAGAACTGGCCAAAAAAATTAATTCTGACAATCTGAAGAGGTGGCATGGATGAATACTCTCAGACTGCCTCTGCTGCTGCTAGGGTATATGCTGACTTGGAAGTGTGGCACCTGTGAAAATGCACATAGACACGGCACAGCAGTTACACACCTGGTGAATACAAGAAGAGTTCTTGGATGTATGCAAAAATCATTGTTTCTGCACTGTTTTCAGTAGCCAAAAGAAGTAAGCATTCTAAGTGTTCTCCGAAAGAGAATGAAAAGTGAACTGTGGTCTAACCATAGAATCGAACACTATATACAGCGATTAAAATGAATGAATCACAGCTACATGTGCTGCACAGACAAAGCTCAAAACATAACATTAAATGAAAACATCAAACTGCAGAAAGTTATGTAAGGTTTGTTCTATTTCTACAAAGTTTAAAATTACAGAAGCTGTGTGTATTCATGGGTCCATAAATATGCTGCAAGCATATAAAGACATGAATGAGAACAATAAATACCTAACTCAGGGCGAGGCATGGGAAGGAGGGAGGTGGTCAGGATCAGGTTTGCCGCGGACACTGGGTACCCAGATGTGGATGATATTACTGACTATTCTTTTTGGTGTGGCTAAAATGTTTTGTTAAACAAAGAAAAGTAGCTGGCCATGGTGGCACATGCCTGTAATCCCCACGATGGGGGAGGTTGAGGCATGAGGATTGCAAGTTCAAGGCCAGCCTGGGCAACGTAGCCAGATCCTGCCTCATAAAATAAAAAGGGCTGGGGATGTAGCTCAATGGTAGAGCATTTGCCTAGCATGTGAGTTCAATTACCAATACTGGGGGGAAAAATCCACAAAGAAAACTATTAAGGAGACTGTCCTACACCTGGTAAAAATATTCTGCCTATATGAGGACAGACATGGGAAGGAAAGTTGTGGAAAGCTATGGTGCTGGGGAGGTAGGAAACTGGCGAGTGCTGAACACCAGTGTCCCAGGCACTCCTAAGAGGATGGGAAAGTGTCAGTCACTGAGATGGGGCCTCTGTTGCAGGTTTTGTGGTCCAAGGCTCCACTGGCGAGTTCCCCTTCCTGACCAGCAGCGAGCGCCTGGAGGTGGTGAGCCGAGTGCGCCAGGTCATGCCCAAGGACAAGCTCCTGGTAGCAGGCTCCGGCTGCGAGTGTGAGGCCTGAAGGCCCTGGGGCCCTGGGCTGGCTGGGCTGTGGAGTCCAGGCTCCTTGGCCCTGGGGTTGGGTTCTGTCTGCTTGTTCTGCCTCTTTTGGGAATTTCTGAGGCTCCCCTTGCTTGCCCAGTATATTGGCCCAGACTAATGCTTCCTCCTGCTCTCCATCCTGCAGCCACTCAAGCCACTGTGGAGATGACTGTGAGCATGGCGCAGGTCGGGGCTGACGCTGTCATGGTGGTGACTCCTTTCTACTATCGCGGCCGCATGAATAGCGCTGCCCTCATTCACCATTACACCAAGGTGGATAGGAGGGGTGGGAGTGGGTCAGGGGCCAGGGATCAAGAGGCGACCTGAGAAGCTAGGAATAGAGTGGTGAGCCTACTTCAAGTGAATGGTAGCTACGGAAAGAACTACCATATACCAGCTGTGCAACTGGGCCACTGTGTCAGTGTTTCCTCCCCTTCTAAAATGGGAGGAACAATGGTTCTTGAGGTTTAAATGAGACCTGGAACACAAAGGATTTTGAGCTGTGCCTGCCATGGAGATAACACTCAGTAGATATTCTCCATCATTTTACAGTAGCTGTGTCAGGGTCTATAGCACTGGTGGCTCAGGCTCAGGAGGCAGAACTGTTCAGATAGTGCATGACCTGTTGGGGCCTGCAGCTCTGAGGACCTGGGGCGGCTGCCATCTCCTTTCTCTCTGTGCCCCATAGGTTGCCGATCTCTCTCCAATCCCTGTGGTGCTGTACAGCATCCCAGCCAACACGGGGCTGGAAATACCTGTGGATGCAGTGGTCACACTTTCTCAACACCCAAATATCGTGGGCATGAAGGACAGTGGTGGTGATGTGAGTGGCAGCCACTCCCAGGCCGGGATGCCCTCTGCCTTCTCTGGGCCCTAGAACATTAGCTACCTGCTTCAGGATTGCCCTGAGATGAATGTCGGTCCTGGGTTATCTCTGCTGAGTGGGTTCTCTGGGGCTTTGTCTGAACTTGAGAGCCTCACTCTGGGAACTGGGCTCCGTGTTCAGGCTGATGGCTCTCTCTGGGCCCAGCTCTCACACCATGTTTGCTGTTGCAGGTGACAAGAATTGCACTGATTGTTCACAAGACCAGGCATCAGGATTTCCAGGTGCTGGCTGGATCCGTTGGCTTCTTGCTGGCTAGCTATGCCTTAGGTAGGTTACCCACTGCTTTCTAATTGTCATGGGTGGCCAAGACACACCCAGCCAGCTGGGTCTGCTGGAAGAGACTGGGAAGGCTCAGGCAAGGTTTTTAGAGGGTGCTCAGCTAGAAAAGTGCACACCCTGCTTTCTTGCCTGACGCAGTACTTATGAATAACCTTGTTGGGGACAGGAGGGTGGCCATGTACAATCCAGGGCTATAGTAGGAATGTCTGCAGGTTATTCTAAGTCCCAAGTTCATGCCTCAATGAGAAATTTAGCTCCTCTAAGCTGGGGTGGTGGTGCATGCCTGTAATCCCAGCACATGTGTCTGGCTGAGGCAGAAAGATTGCAAGTTTGATCCCAGCCCAGGCAACTTGATAATTTAGTGATACCCTGTCTCAAAAAGTAGAAAAAGATCTGGGGATATAGTGCAGTGTGAAGGCCTGAGTTAAATCCCCAGTACCATGTGGGAAAAATTTAGCTCCTGCAGGCCAGGCATGATGGCAAATGCTTGTAATCCCAGCACTTGGGAGGCTGAGGCAGGGGGATTGCTACATAGTCAGCTACATGGTGAGTGTAAAGGCAATCTGAACTATATGGTGAGACCTTATCTTTTTTTTTTTTTTTTTGGTTTTTCTCCGGTACCGGGAACCAAACTCACGACCTTGCGCTTGCCAGGCAGGCGCTTTGCCACTGAGCTAAATCCCCAGCCCCGGTGAGACCTTATCTTAAGGGAAAAATTTTGTTAGCTCCCCTAATCTCACCTTATAAATCAATCTCTGTGGGCAGAGATCTTGAGGCCTCCCCTCAAGATTAGAATTCCACCCCACTCCTCCTCAAGTCCCAAACTAGAATGCACTGTCAGACCTGCAGGGCTGGGCCTGACATCTTCAGCTGCCTGATCAAATTCTGTTCTAGTCCATCGATTCTCTGTACAAAAAAAAAAGTCTGTTTCAGTCCAGGGATTCTAGAAGTGTTATTTATACTAACTGCTCTCATGTGTTTTGGGTCAAGGTCCCTGGGTTCAGGTGGGGTTTGAACCTTGGAGCAGAAACATGGAGGGCAGTATCTGCTCCGTTCAGCCAAAAGTCCAGGGAGTTTAGCTTCCAGTGACTTTTATAGTAAGTGCTGGACTCATGAACATTTGAGTTGCAAACTTTCACAGCTGTACTGTGTAAGATTCACAGGTATATTGTATAAGGCTCACTTTATTGGATTATGAATGAATCTGACTAAACAAATATTCTCCCAGGACGGAACTTGTTCGAAAGTCAGGGACTCACTGTACTGCAGGGGAAAATAGCTCCTATTCCTTCTGGTCTCTGAAGACTTTGGCTTGTACACAGTGCTTTGAACATATCCCTTTTGCCATGTCACAATCTCTAAAGTGCAGGGAAAGAAGATGGGACCCATTTCCAGCTCCTTCTTGAGAGTAGGATAGATGGAAAGAGCACAGGCTCCAGAGGTGGGGATATCTGAGCTGGAATCTCAGCTTTCCCAGTTACTCACTGAGTAACATGAGGCAATGCGCACAGTCTCTCCGAGCCCAAAGAGGTATTGTGAGGATTAGCGAGCATCAGGCCTGTGTATGCCCTAGTGCCTGCTCCATAGTGTGTATTCTACAAATGGTAGCTGTATTCGTTCATTCCAAATTGTCCACTTTCTTTCCAGTCCTGAGGCCACTGTACTTAGGGTTACTCCCAACTACCCTTAGAATCACACTCAAAGGCTGGCAGAGATGCCTGAGGTTTCTGAGGTTACACCTGACACATTTTCACTACTCAGATGAGAACAAAGGGGATGAGAGAGGGTCTGTAACTATGATGTAGGCTATGATGTAGCCAATAAGAGCAAATGCCCAGTCTCTGATCTTGTGCCTAGAGCACTCTCCACTCCTCTTCCCCAGGGTAAATTCCCCTAGGGGAAAAGATTTCAGCAGATCTAGACCCGTCCAGAAATAATGAGTCCTGGGACTGCTGGAGAAACACTGGAGATGTTAATGGGCAGCCAGGCCCTGGGTCTGGAAGGGTACGGGAGGCCCTTTGGGTTCATCTCCCTGCTCTTCACAGAACACTTGGCCCATGGGATTCTATTTTGAACATGTAAGCAACTTTTTCTCTCTGGAAATGTGTATGTGGATGCACAGCGCATGACTTCGACATGGGCAAGTGTGGCATAGAAATTCACATCTTATGTCCCAGGATGAAGAGGCTCAGGGACCAGGGTTTGGGATTCTCTCTGTGGGAAGTGGCTCTGGCTAATATTCTGCATCTTACTCTGGGCAGGAGCTGTGGGGGGCGTGTGTGCCCTGGCCAATGTCCTGGGGGCCCAGGTGTGCCAGCTGGAGCGACTCTGCCTCACCGGCCAATGGGAGGCCGCCCAGAAGCTGCAGCTCCGCCTCCTTGAGCCCAACGCTGCGGTAAGCTCCCATGGCAGCTGAGGGGCAGCCCTGTGTCTGTGCAGGAATGCGAGCCAGGGCTGGCGCAGGGTCCCTGTTCAGCCCTTCCCTTTCACAAAGTCCTTTTAGAATATATCTCAGTGTGGGAGCTCCTAGTACCGCCCCAGAAAATCCCGGCTGCAGACAAAGTTGAGCCTAGTTGTTTCTCAAGCTTACCTATGAATTAGAATCCCTGAGGGAATACAGTCCTGCTCCTTTATGCACTGAAACCAGCCTCCCAGCGACTGTGACATACGCGGTCCTGGGACTGTACCTAGAGATGACTACCTAGCAAGAGTGAACCATGGGCCTTTTAAATCAGCTCTTGAGGAGCCAGATCTTGAAAATCAGAATGAGGAGAAGGAGGAAAGCTGAAGATGTTTAGGTCAGATTTTCCAGCATAGTTCTCTCTTCAAATAATCTATGCTCATGCTGGGGATATAGCTCAGCAGCACAGTGCTTGCCTATCATGTATGAGGCTCTGGGTTCAATCCCCAACACTGGGGCAGGGGATAAAACACAAAGCAAAAGCAACCCACTATGCGTATCAGTATCAGAGCCTCTTTCTTTTTCTTTCTTTCTTTCTTTCTTTCTTTCTTTCTTTCTTTCTTTCTTTCTTTCTTTCTTTCTTTCTTTCTTTCTTTCTCTCTTTCTTTCTTCTTTCTTTCTTTCTGATCTTTTTGAGATAGGGTTCACTATGCAGTTCAGGATGGCCTTGAACTCAAAGCAATCCTCCTGTCTCAGCATCCCAAGTTCTAGGATTACAGGAGTGCACCACCATACCTGGGTCAAAACCATTTTGAAGTCTGAGGCAAACAGAAAAATTTATATACATATATAAAAAGTGTATATACATATATATATACACACATACTTTTTATATGAATTGTAGATTCATATGCAGTTGTGAGAGATAATACAGAGATAATACAATTTATTAATTCCTCCCAATGATAGCATTTAATACAGTACATCCATGGAATAATTTCACCATATTAGATAGGATATAGGATACCTATATTCTATGATATAGCCAGGATATATGTAGCCAAGATATATATTACTGTCATCACCACAAGGATCCTTTATGTTATTGTTCTATAATCATGCCTACTCAGCCCTAGTCCCACCCCCTGAACTCACCATTTTCATAATTTTGTCAGTTTAAGACTATACAGTATGGAAACATATAGAATGTAACTTTTGGAGATTTTTCCATGCAGAATAATCCTCCAGAGATTTATGTAGGTTGTATGATCAATAGTAATTCCTTTTAGTTGCTCGGTAGTATTATGTGGGATGGCTATACCACACCCGTGTAACCATTCACCCATTGAAGGGGAGCTGGGTTCTTTCCCATCTTTGGCTATTAACAGCTGTCATGAATATTTATATACATGTTTTTGTGTGACTATGCTTTTCCTGGGATAAATACCAACAGTGTGATTATGGGTGGTATGATGGTTGCATGTTTAGTTTTTTGTTTGTTTGTTTTATATGTTTGAGAGGGGGTCTTCCCTGTGTAGTTCAGGCTGTAGTTCAGGTCTTGAACTCACTATGTAGCTCAGGCCAGTCTCCAACTCACGGCATGGCCTCCACCTCCTGCCCCTGCCTCCCAAATGCTGCGATTACTGGTGTCTACCACCACACCCAGTATGTTTAGCTTTTTAAGAAACTGCTGAATTGCTTTCCAGTGTCTGTACCATTCTGTATTTATACTGATGTAAATTTATATGTGATCCAGTCTCTACATCCTAACCAGCATTTTGTGTTATGCCTTTTTAAAATTTCAGCCATTCTGACAGGTATGTAGTAACATCTCCTTGTGATTTAAATGTGCACTTCCCTGATAGCTAATATTGAACATCTTTTAATGTGTTAATTTGTCATATCCTCTTCACTGCAATATCTGTTTATATCTCCTGCCCCTTCCTTCCTTCCTCCCTCCTTCTTTTTTTCTTTTCTTTTTTCTTTTTCTTTCTTTCTTTCTTTCTTTCTTTCTTTCTTTCTTTCTTTCTTTCTTTCTCTCTTTCTCTCTCTTGCTCTATCTATCTATCTATCTATCTATCTACCTATCTATCTATCTGTCTGTCTATCTATCTATCTTTTCAAGACAGGGTTTCACTATGCAGTTCAGGCTGGACTTGAACACACTTTGTAGCCCAGGCTGGCCTTAAACTCACAGTGATCCTCCTGCCTCAGCCTCCCCGGTGCTGGGATTACAGGAATGTGCTACCACGTCCACCAACATTTTCTTTCTTTTTCTGTTTTCTTTTCTTTTTTTTGGTGCTGGGGGATCCAACCCAGGGCACTGCATGTGCTAAACTTGAACTTTACAACAGAGCTACACGGCAAGGAATAGCCTCAATGGACTAGTATTTCCCTTGACCATTTTCTAATTGGATTTTTTTTTTAACTGCTGAGTTTTGAAAGTTTTTCATCCAGGCATGGTGGCACATGCCTGTAATCCCAGCACTTGGGAGGCTGAGGCAAATGGATTGTTGCAAGTTCGAGGCCAGCCTAAGCTACATAGTGAGTTTAAGTCTACCCTGAATTAGAGTGAGACCCTGTCTCAAAAAATCTAAAAAAAAGTTCTTTGTATTTTCTAGATACTAGTCCTTGTTGGATATGTGATTTATACTTCCTCCCAGTCTATAGCGTGTTTTTTCATTCTCTTTATAAATTTGTTTGTTTTTTCCCTGTTTGAGATGGGGTCTCACCATGCAGTTCAGGCTGGCCTTGAGCTCACTTTGTAGCCCCAGGCTGGCCTCGAACTCGCAATGATCCTCCTGCCTCAGCCTCCCAAGTGCTGGGATTACAGGCGTGAGCCACCATGCCCAGCTTTTTATAAGTTTTTTACCTAGCAGAAATTTAAAGCTTTGATAAAATCCAAGTTATCATTATTTCCTTTATGAATGATGATTTTAGTATTAAGTCTAAGAATTCCTAGATCATGAAAATTTACATTTTTCCTCAAAGTTTTATAGTTTCATATTCTACACATTTGTGACCCATCTTGAGTTAATTTTTATATAAAGGGTAAGACTTAGGTCAAGTTTTTTGTGTATGTCTATGAATATTCACTTGCTCCAGCAACATTTGTTGAAAAAGCTGTCTTTCCTTCATTGAACTGCTTTTGCGCCTTTGTCAAAAATCTATGGGGCATATTTGTGTGGCTCTATTTCTGGAGTCTCTTTTCTTTTCATTGATGTATGTGTCTATTCCTTCACAATACCACAGACTTGATTGTTGTAGTTACATAAAAGTCTTAAAAGAAGTTTTTTCTTTTTCCCCAAAATTGTTAGTTGGTCTAATTCCTTGCCTTCCATATACATTTCAAGATAATCTTGTCTATACACAAATATTTTGCTGGACTTAATAGGAATTGTGTTAAACTGGTATATAGTTGGTTGACATCTTTACTATGTCCTCTTCCAATACACGTTCAGGGAATGTCTATTTACTTAGATCACTTTAAAAATTTTTCTTCAGTATTTTGTATTTTTTTTTATTTGAGTACCTCAAATTTTTTTGAGTGATTGAAAATAGTATTGTATTTTTAATTTCACTATCCATATGAAATTCACTAACTACCACTGCTAATATTTAAAACACAATTGATTTTTTTTTTTTGAGACAGGGTATTGCTATGTAGTTCAGGCTGGCTTTGAACTCAAGATCCTCCTGCTTCAGCCTTCCAAGTGTTGGGATTACAGGCATGTGCCACCATCCCTGGTTCACAGTTGATTTTTTTCCATGTTTATCTTATATCCTATCTTGGCTGAACTCACTTACTGGTTATAGGAGGGTTTTTTTGGTAGATTCCTTGGGGTTCCTATATAGGCATCATATCATATATCTATTTCTAGCTTTAAGTTTTTGTAAATACTTTTTATCAAGCTGAACAAGTTCTTCTCTATTCTGTTTCCTAAATTTTAAAAGTACGAATGGGTGAATTTTGTCAAATGTTTTTCTGTATTGATAGATATGACCATGTGGCTTTCTTCTTTACCTTATTAATATGGTAGATTATATTAATTTTCAAATATTTGACACAGATTTGCTTTCCTGGAATGAACCTAATTTAAAAATGGCATATAACTCTTTTGATGGATTGCTGAATTTCATTTGTATTCATGAGGAACATTGTTCTCTTCCTTCTTCTTCTTTTTTTTTTTTTTTTTT